ATGTAGAAAACATTACAGTAATTTCAGAAATTTTATAAGAATTGTTTTAGCTGCAATAACAATGCATCTCTGCCTTTAAAAAATGGAGTAAATTAAAGAGCATACCCTATACACTGTGCACAGGCAAAGGCACTGTCTTACTAGAAGTAGGATTTGTTTTTGCTTTCATTTTTTAAAATTTTATTGTTAAGATGCTGTACAGCAGGGTTACAGTTACATGAATAAGGCAATGAGGACATTTCTTGTTGTATAGAGGGGTTACAGTTACATGGGTAAGGCAATGAGGACATTTCTTGTTGTATAGAGGGGTTACAGTTACATGAGTATGGCAATGAGGACATTTCTTGTTGAGCATTGTTACCCCTTCCCTTGTGGTGGTCCCACTATCCCTTCCCTCCCCCACCTTCCACATACTAGAAGTTTTTAATAGCACTCCTCTCATTTTTTTTTTGAGGCCCTCTCTGTGGATTGCACCTTGGTGTGCAAATATAAATTAACTGTAAGGCTCTTTTGCCCAAAGACATTATTAAAGATATGCTTCTGTAACAATGTAGGTTTTCAAAATGGAGGTCTCTCCTGACAGTATAAAGTAAGCCAAATAGATAGACAATAAATAATCACCATAAGATTTTGTAAATAAAAACTTTAAATTTAACGATTAAGGAAACCTGATGTATAGGAATGTAGGAAACTGAATATAAAATGGCACACAAATGTCTGAAATGACTGAAGGAATAAGCCACGTAAGATCTAGAATGTCCATTCTTAGAATTTTTTTTCTTCTCTTTTCTTTTCTTTTCTTTTTCTTTTTTTGTTGGTTGGGGGGCTTGAACTCTGGGCCTAAGTGCTGTCCTTGAGCTCTTCAGCTCAAGGTGAGCACTATACCACTTGAGCCACAGCGCCACTTCCGGTTTTCTGGTAGTTAATTGGAGATAAGAGTCCCATAGACTTTCCTGCCCAGACTGGTTTTGAGCCACAATCCTCAGATCTCAGCCTCCTGAGTATCTAGGATTACAGGCGTGAGCCACCCATGCCTGGCTGGTTCTTAGAATTTTTATCTATATGATACTAAAGCTACACAAGTATTGTGGTTGATATTTGGTACCTAGTCTTTCTAAATTCCTTACATATTGATAATGTTATAGAATGGGAACAGACTTAAAGAGCTAACTCAATACCAAATATGTGGCAGGTGAAGTACAAATGGAAACAATCAGTTGGTACAAATGAGAGCTACGGTATACAGCGTATAAAGCCCTCAACAAATAGTTGCTATTTATGACACATCTCTACCACTATTATTCATAGATGGTAATAGTCATATTTATTCAAGTACAATGAAAGGATACAGCAGTGAACAGCCCCCATCCAGTCCCTTCAGTCACAGATGATAAACAAATTTCCAGAGAGATAGATGATGGGGGGGGGGGAGGGAGGGGGATAACTATAATGACAAAATAAAGCTGGCTAAGTGGAGTGCGGTCTGGAGGGCTCATTTACATAGGCTGCTCTGGGAAGCCTTTCTGAGAAGTGGAATTTGAGAAGAACCAGGAGAGCCATGTGACTGAGGCAGGGATTCCCAGGCAGAGGAAGCAGAAAGCCCAGGTGCACCTTCCCAGAAGAAGTTCATGTTAAGCCTAGAGGGAGGGCCAGTGTGGCCAGCACTGTGGCGAGGGTGCTCTGAGGATGAGCTCAGAGGGCCGCCTGATCCTGAGAACCTGCTGGGTCATGGGAACTTGGTGGGGTATAGTCACCAACAAAGCTAGAAGTTATAGGCGAAGTCTTAAGCAAGGAGCGAGGTGGAATCCAAAAGAAAGATTTCATTGGGAAGTTGGATGAATAGTGCATTACAGGGGACAAGAGCAGAAAGGGCAGCTTCTGCTGTCATCCTGGCGAGACAGGGTGGTGTGGAATGAGAAGTGGGTTGCTTTGCTACAGATTGTCAGGGAAGTAAAGATGGCGATGCCTTGGGAGTGCCACACGGGCTACCTCGCTGGCAGTTAGAACGGGAATCTGGGTCGTGGTTTTCTTGCAATGCCTGAGAACCGAGGGCACCTTTGTGTGAGTTAGCAAAGATGAGACTTCCTCTCAGCAGGCATCCCAGGCTGGGGCCTGCACTTCCAACCCTTGTTCCCAACTTCGGGATTAAGAGCTGAGAGGATGAGGAGTTGGGAAGATGAAGCCAACTTCAAAGTTTGGGGCCTGAGCAATTAGAATAAAGTTGTATTTTACTGAAATGTAGGCTATAGTTAGAGCAAGTTCAAGGAAGGAAATGAAGAATTCAGTTTCCCCTGCTACTAGACATTCAAGTGGAAACACGACGAGACCATTGGATGTACAAATTTAGAATAAAAAGAGAACTTGAGACTGGAATAGAAATCTGAGATTTGTTACCATATGAGTTATATTATATTATTCTTCATTATTATATTTTCCTTCATGTAGTAGTACCTGTTTATTATGTAAAAGTAACTATGATAGTGACAACAATCATGATATTAAGACTTTAAAAATTCTACCATATGACTTTTAAAATCGAGTTTTTATTATTTTTATAACAAAAATCATTAAAAGCGTTTTTAAAGATAAAGTGAAATAAGTCTGTTTGCATATTACCTACCTCCTAGATCTAAATTTAATCATTACTACTAGTTTCTTTTATATCCTTGTAAAATGTTTCTATGGATCTAGAGCCATGTGTGAATATATATATACATATATAGATATGCATGCATTCTCTTTTTATATGAATGAGGCCATGGTAAATATAGCCTGCGACTTCATTTCTCTTTTATAAAGAAATCTTATGGATTCTGTCAGATCAACCTCCATAAAAGTCATACCAATCTATATTCCTACCAACAGAGTAAAAGATTGCTGTTTTCACAGTCTTCACTAACACAGCATATGACCAAACTCTTCAATCATGGCCAAGGTAGATGGAAAAAACAGTCCTGTTAAATTTTACATAGACTTTTTTTTTCATGTCTACTGGCCTTTTACATTTCTTTTTATGTGAGCTGCCTTTTTGTGCTTTTTGCATGTTTTCTTAGCTTTTAAAATGGTTTCTAAGAGCTCGATTATATTAAGGAAATTAATCCTTTGGGCTAAGTCTATTTTTTTCCTCCAAATAAATTGTGTGTTAAGTAATGGCTGCAGTTAAAAAAAAAATTAAAAAGTGCAGGTGACCAAAAGGGGTATTTGACTGCTGGGGACACTGGGGAGGGACCAGATTTTCCTCTTTCTTTCCTCCTTCCCCAAACCATTCCCCCCCCGCCCCAGAGAACCTTACCCCCTTTCTCCCCATTTTCAGTGCTCTTTACCTGACTAGAAGGAAAGACCAAATGCATACATTTTTTTACTTATAGTTAGAACAAAAATTACCTTTCAGGCTATTTATCTTGCTTTTTAATAGTAGGAAACCTCAACCTTGACAGAAGCTAGGCCTTCCTAATAGATCTGAACTTGATACTAGTACATTATATGTGTGAGTATAAATAATTATTTCTGTGTTTTCATTAACATCTATGGAATAAAGTAGGAAGAAAAAGCACCTGCTGCATACAAGATACTATGCAAAGCCTGTGAAATTTATCCCTTTATGGTCACAGCAACTTAGGGAGACAGTTTTTGTTGCTCTTGCTTTATGTATGGAGAAACAAACACGTAGCACAATTAAGAAGCTCTCCTAGAGTGGAAGGGGAAGTACAGAAATGGAAGGACAAAGGGTAAATAGTCAGGACATTATGTTGAACATGAACTATGTAACTTGTGGGTGGGGATGGAAGGGGAAAACTAGGAGAGAGCGGGGGAGGGATTGGTGACATTGTCCAAAAAGAAATGTACTTATTATCTGATGTATGTAACCGTCACCTCTCTGTATATCACCTTTATAATACCAATAAAGAGCCAGGCACTGGTCTTCATGCCTGTAATCTCAGCCACTCAGGAGGCTGAGATCCAAGCATCTAGGTTTGAAGCCAGCTCTGGCAGAAAAGCGCAATCTCCAATTACTTAGGAAAAATAAAGTGCGCCAAACATGAATTTGGGCTCAAGTGGTAGAGTGCCAGCCTTGAGTGAAAAAGCCAAGCAAGGGCACCAGGCCCCAAGTATCAGCACAAAAACAAGAAAGCAAAAGCAGGGGTGGGGGAACAAACCCTAAGATGACGCGGTTAGAAAGGTGTCGAGCCTTGTGCGGTAAGGGAAGGTCACCTTGCCTTGCTGCATCCCATAGACCGTGATTCTCGCAGTCATGCTCTTCTTCAACTTTACTAATAGAAAAGACTAAGAAAGGGTCTGGGAATGTGGCTTGGTGGTAAAATGCTTACTTAGCATGTGTTAAACCCTGGGTTCAATACCACATAAACAGAAAGAGCTAGAAATAGCATTGTGGCTCTTAAGTGGTAGAGTGCTAGTTTTGCACAAAAGAAGCTCAGGGACAGTGCCCAGGCCCTGAGTCAAGCCCCAGGACTGGCAGACACAAACACACAGAAAAGAGCAAGAAAGGGCTGGGAAGGTGGCTCAGTGGTAGAGCACTTGCCTTGCATGCTCGAGGCCCTGGGTTTGATTCCTCAGCACCACGTAAGAAAAAAGCCGGAAGTGGCACTGTGGCTCAAGTGGTAGAGTGCTAGTCTTGAGCTGAAGAGCTGAGGGACAGCGCCCAGGCCCAGAGTTCAGGCCCCATGACTGGACCCGCCCCCGCCCTCCCCAAAAAAAAAGACTAAGAAAAAATATTCTTATTTTGTCCATCGATAGGCTTAGGACTGAAATAAAAGATATAAGACCATACTATTTTTACAATAAAAAATATTATAAAAAAGAATATACTAATACATGCAGCTATTTTCCCTCTATTGGATTATTAGGTTGATAGATATTCATATAAAAATACATCAATGCACTCTTTCCAGCGTACTACGTGCCATGGTCTCTACCCATAGTTCTCACTGTACTGTTTGGGGTGGTAGCGAGCATTTGGGCCATTGTTTTATTCTCTGCAGGCCTACAATGGGCACCATCAGGCCTTGGAGGTCCTTCTGCAGTCTCTGGTCGACCTGGACATCAGGGATGAGAAAGGCCGCACCGCTCTGGATCTGGCTGCCTTCAAGGGACACACGGAGTGTGTAGAAGCCCTGATAAACCAGGGTGCATCCATCTTTGTGAAAGACAACGTCACCAAAAGAACGCCGCTTCATGCCTCAGGTAGGCCTAACTCCAGCTTTTATCACCCAAGTTCTATAGCTCACTCCTGAGTACAAATAAAAGAATAGCAGCATCTCCCTAACCCTAGTCTTTAAAATACCAGTTTTCTTTCTACATCAGACGTAGCTGCACACTTCTAACATGTTTTGATATGGTTGATGGTTTCTGGCTAGTCAGCTTCTGGTCTTCTTCCTAATTGGAAGCTTTGGCCAAAGGCTCCCTACTATAAGCTTCCCAAACAACAGAGAAAGTATAATGTCCAGAATATGTCACATAGAATGAATCACGTCAAAAGCACAGAGCATTTTCTCTAATGTTAGTATTTCCATCATCCCCCTCCCTCCCAGACCAGCTTTCCTTTAACCCCAGCCTCCCCTCCCCACCCCCACAAAAAACCAGAGACTCTGTAGTTACACAAGAGTCTTAAAAGAAAGTTATTTTCTTTGCTTCTGGCATTTTAAGACAAGCCAAAAAAAAGAAAAAAGAAAAAAGCTGAAGGAAGTCACTGCCCATGAAACACTCAGATGACAAGAGCCATAAAGAGAGAGACAGAGACAGACAGACAGACAGACAGACAGACACACACACACACACACACACACACACACACACACACACACAAATCACAGCATTTAGCACCTGCTAATACTGTATCTTAGGGACATTTCATATACAGAAGCCCATCAGTACACCAGCCTAAGTTTGATTCTTAGCTTTTGTTTTGGTTCTTGATACCTCAGAGGTATAAATAGAGACCACTAGTGGCTCACACCTGTAATCGTAGCTAATCAGGAGGCTGAGATCTGAGGATTACTGTTCAAAACCTGACTGGGCAGAAAAGCCCATGAGACTTTTGATCTCCAATTACCTACCAGAAAACCGGAACTGGAGCTCTGGCTCAAAGTAGTAGAGTGCTAGCCTTGAGCCAAAGAGCTCAGGGACTGCACAAGCCCTGAGTTCAAGCCCTATGACTAGCTCCCCTCCTGCACCCCCCCCCAAAAAGGATTACATGTATAAACCAAAAAGTAAGTAGTTTTCTGGGATTTCCCTTTCCAATATACATGAAAACTTGTAACCAACAAAACACATCCAGGCGTATACGTAGAAATAAAGGTCATGTAAAAGAGTTTTTGGCTTGGCTAAGCTATAAATACCTTTGAGCTCAGGAAATCCAGTAATATCAGCCATTGATGAGGGTAATAGATAGAACCTTATAAGGAGAAATAACGATCTTACCCAGTGAAATATGGTTGTACTGAGGAACTATAGGAGTGAAGATGTTTTCTAAAAGACCTTATGACTCATTATTTGGGAAATTTTTCTATACTCCATTTATGTCCCTTACTGTCTAAGCCAATTATAGAGATTGAAAAGGCCTGGCTCTTGCATAATTACCTGAAATGATAGTAGCTGGAAAGAAAAGCTTTAGCAGCAATAGTTCATGTGGTCAAATTATAAATTATTTTCCATCGCAGTCTTTTTTGCTTCTTTGGCTGGTGGTATTATCCAGTCTAAATTAATTGCCAATTATTAAGGCAAGCAACCCTTTTATGCTACCATGTAATTCCTGATGATTACAAAGCCTGTATTGGTTGAAGAAGCCCATCCTTGGAAACAGTAAGCAATGGCGAACAATCACACATTTGCCACTGTGAAGTAGGTATGGTCCAAGGCCACCCCCTAGTGGTCAAGAGGATTCACTCTGTTAGGGTTTCCCTTAATGACACAGGCTGTCATTTGACTCTTAGAAAATGTCTGGGATGCAGAGGTGACTTAGGATCTGTATACTCAGAATCTTTTGCAGCTCCCTTGAGAGGCCAATTTCTTTATTTCAGTTCCTTGAAATATTGTGAAAAGCAGCCAGGATGGATACTGGAGATTTGGCACAGATAAATGCGGTGACAGTTACAATGGGTTTTGAGCAACATGGAAAAAAATGACTGTCACTCATAGCCAAGGAGAAGCTGAGATAAAGAAAGCTGGGTCTGACAGAACACAGCTAAGGATATTGTCATCTTTCTGCTAGCAGGCAGTTGAGGGGAAAAATCTAGTGTGTGAGAAGGTGAGCAAGAAGATTTAAATTTTCCTCAGAGCTATGGGTTGAGTTCAGTAAGCTTGTGTGAAAACACAGGTATAAAATCATAACTATAGATATTGTTTTCCATCTGACATACAGAGTAATAATAGGAAATTAGGTGCTATTTTCTTACATTCGATTAAAAATGGAACCATTAAGTATGAGCACTTAAAAAATATTACATTGCTACAGAAAGAAGAGCTAGTCAAAAAAATGTGTTTCCCTTCCCTCCATGAACCCATGGCTGTGATATTTAGTGGTCAGTCCTTCCGTGATCATTTCCTTTTAGACATTGCAACGATGGTAACAGATGTTTGCATAAATTTAAAAATATGACAGAAACACAGCAACCATAATATATTACCTGTAACTCCAGTCTGCCAAATTTCTTCTCAACATACATAAATGGATGGTGAATGGAATAGTTTACGTAGTGTGGGCATTATTCCTGTTGTTCATTGGGTGGTATCGATAAATATGAGCTAATTCTAATAGGCATTGTCCCTGAAAACTGTTGATGTTAAATTAGCATTCTTTCATGACTGGCAAGCTATAAAAAGGACTGTAAAACACAGCTTTGAAGAGAGCCTTTGTCAGCCTAACACAGCTACATCTTTCCTTTTTCCCTCCACATTCATCACCAGGGAAATTCGATGTATTTTATTGTGTTCTTATTGTTTAGACAGGAGAGTAGGTCATGTTCGGAATTTTAAACGTATTTCTTCTCAGTTTACTCTCTGAGTAGAAAGCCACATTTAGGTGGCTTCTTCCTTCTCTCTTTCTCCTCTTCTTCTTCTTCCCCCTCCTCTTCCTCTTTCTCCTTCAACTCTTCCTTCTCTTCCTCCTCCTCCTCTTTCTCTTTTCTTTTGCTCAGTAACTGGAAGAAAGAGCCTTACTCCAGGGGGGGTTCCATCCCAGAGGGGCTCCTTCCCAGCAGGCCATGCTCCACTGCCACCTAGGAAAGGAGCATCTTGCCAGGTGCACATTCTCTCCCAGAATGTAAGGCCAGCCTGACATTGAGGTTGCATTGCATTTCCTGCCCACTCTTTGGTCTGCTGCAGCGGGGTGGGGTTGGGGAGGATGGATTGGATGAGGGCCAGCAGCCCTAGGAAGGGGCTTAGAAGGCACTTGAGTTAGAGGAGGGGATGATATAGAGAGGAAGGAGTGAGGCAAGGAGGAAAGCAGAAGGAATGTCTCCTGAAGCCTGCAGTGTGCTTGTGACACTGTGGGCTGTGGTTTAAGGGACACTCGGACCCCACAGGGACCCATTGTTGAGTCTCCTGAGAGTACCAATCAATCACCCCTGAGCAGGAGCACATGTACGCCTTTCCAGCTTAGTGTTTTGCTTTAAGCCACCACTAATCAATGAGAACGGCTGCTGGACTGTCTACTGTAGAATGTAAGGTGACTCCAGGAAGAGAAGGCATCTATTCTGTTCTTCCTCCTTTTCCGCTCCTTCCTCATCTCCTCTCTTCCCCTCCACCTTCCTCCTGTCCTGCTACTGTTCCCATCTCCTCTCCCTTCTCCTTTCTCCTCCTCCTGCTTTTTTTTTCTTATTTTTAAAAAGGTCTGGAGTCAGGCTTGTCAGAGGATGCTTATAGAGAAGCAACGCTTGGAGGAACAATAGGAGAACTGACAAGGGAGGAGGCCTGTCAGTCCTACATAAGGAGATAAGAAAGGACACCAAATTTAAGGGAAACTTCCTCTGCAGGGGAAGCAGAAAAGGGAGATGAAGCTCACAAATTCCTGGTAGGAATAAAGGAGCTGAGAGATGAACACTGGGCCAGGATATTCCTCAGGCCATCAGGAATTGGAAATACAGGGGTCATCTGTTAGCATTGGTGGCAGACCACTGACTTGAAGTCCAAATAAATTTCACTCTAGAGGGATTTCTGTAGTATTTGTCTGTTAAAAGGATGTCTATCATTTTTTTTCCTTTTCTAGTTATTAATGGTCACACCTTGTGTTTGCGGCTATTACTGGAAATCGCAGACAACCCGGAAGTAGTTGATGTCAAAGATGCCAAAGGACAGTAAGTGGCCTACACTTGGCCTTGAGTTGATATTTTAGTCACAAGAGGGAATTGGTTGGTTTATTGAACAGCTAGGAGGGCTGATGGCGGAATTCTAGGTTGGGTGAAATTTATAGGTGAAGGTTCTAGAAAAACAGTGCTCTGTGCCAGAGCCTATATCCAGAAAAAAACACCAGGAGAGTGTGCATGATGGTCGTGGCTGTGTTTCCCGTCTTTCTCCTCTTTCTTCCCATCTTTAATCTCTTGAGGCTGCTACATCCCATTTCATTAAATTAATAATGACAAAAAGACAGACCTCTAGACATTATCCTATTGACATTTTTATCCTTCCTCATTCTGTTCTTCCAAGAATTTTCTCGCGGTTTATTTCCCGCCCTGTTCTCTTTTCCAAATAGGAAATTCAGATAGCTAAAACTCTGGTTTTACCTAGTCCCAGGTATGTGGGCTAGAACCTCACTTCTAGGATTCAGCACTCTGTTCTTTCCTCTAGACCTATCAGGCTTTTCTTTAAGACAATGAAGAATGAGGAATGAAGAATGAAAAATTGTGTTTTTCTTTTTTCTTTTTTTTCTTTTTTTGTCAGTTGTGGGGCTTGAACTCTAGGCCTGGCGTTGTCCCTCAGCTCTTCAGCTCAAGGCTAGCTCTCTACCCCTTGAGCTACACTTCCAGTTTTCTGGTGGCTTATTGGAGATAAGAGTTTCACAGACTTTCCTGCCCTGGCTTTGAACCGTGATCCTCAGATCTCAGCCTCCTGAGTAGCTAGGATTACAGGCGTGTGCCACCAATGCCCAGCTTGGATTGCTGTTTCTTTGCATCTGATCATATAAAATAATACTAATTGAGATGAACGCCAAGAAATGGAAGCAAGAGGTTTTTCTCTTTGTTGCTGTTTTTGCTTTCTTTTCCTTTTGTCTTCTTTGTTCATTTATCTGTTTTTGTGAGGAGAGGGCACAGAAATGGAGGGATAAATAGTAAACAAATGTAGCATTGGTACTTACTAGACCCTATGTTGAAAATGAACTATACAGCTTGTGGGTGGGGCTGGGAGGGAAAAACTGGGAGAGAGTGAGGGAAGGGGAAGGTGACGTGGTTCAAAAACAAATGTACTCTTTATCTGACTATGTAACTGAAACCCCAAATTTGTAAATAAGGAAAATACACCAAAAAAGAAGAGGGTTTTCCTCATACCCATACAGTCTACCCAGCTGATACTTACTGGATGCCACATGGTTCCAATAATGAGGGGTTAGGAATAGTTGGAGATGGGATTTCCACCAGCCCCACCCTATGGATCATTCCTCTTCCTCCATTCCTTGTGGTGTTAGAGCAGCAAGAGATTGATCATTGTACAGAGCAGATAGAAAACTGAGGACAAAGAAAGCACTAGCTATTGTCAAGAACAACAGAGAGGTATTCTCCCACTGTAAGTATTTCTACCTCATTTGAAAGCCTGTTTTTCTCTCCCTAGAACCCCGCTAATGCTTGCAGTAGCATATGGACACATTGATGCTGTCTCCTTGTTACTTGAAAAGGAAGCAAACGTAGATGCTGTTGACATTATGGGATGTACAGCTTTACACAGAGGGGTACGTATGCCTTTCATAGCTTTCATCAAGCTTGTTTCCTCTTTTTATTCCCTATACAAAATTTTAAGAAAAAAACTCACTGCATAATATAACCAATTAACCTCAGCCAGCCAAAAAGAAATGACAAAATCTTGTACAAAGGTACAGTAATGAAAGCACTGTTAGTCCCTGTTCTTACGACTTCATGACAGACTGTGATAATAAATGCATGAACACCTATCGGTGGGCTTGCTTCTTCTTTCTGATTACAAAATACATGTACATCATAGGTAATTTGCAAAGTGTTGTTTTTTTATATCACAGAGGAAGAAAATCACAATCACTACTAATCCTATATCCTGGAGATAACCATTTGGGGGAGTATACCTATTTCCAATTCTTTTTCTTCTCTTATGTAGATTTGTCTTATTCTTTGATAAGAGAGAATACAGAAAAAGCTATTTGGAATCTGTCATATTTGTCTCAGGATACACTGACAGCACAAGGGGAGGGTTTGTTGTGATAACTCTATAGATACATACAATGGACTTTGAACAAGTTTCCCCCCTTTGCTAGTTTTTGGTGGTATTTATTATGCTACCTTCATAATGAAGATATGCTGTCTTACACTGTCTTCATTGTGCTGTATTCAGATGTATGTGTGTGTTTGTGTGTGTGTGTGTGTGTAAAATGAACTTTGATTCTCTTCACTCCTCAGTACCTTCTCCTTTTCCCTTTCCCCTTTCATTGATCTCCCACTGGAGTATCTCATATTCCATCATCCATCATCATCAATCATCATTATCATCATCATCATCATCGTCATCATCATCGTCATCATCGTCGTCATTTATTTATTTATTTATTTATTTTTGGGTCCGGTCATGGGGCCTGAACTCTGGGCCTGGGCGCTGTCCCTCAGCTCTTCAGCTCAAGGCTAGCGCTCTACCACTTGAGGCACAGCACCACTTCCGGCTTTTTTCTTTATGTGATGCTGAGGAATCGAACCCAGGGCCTCATGCGTGCAAGGCAGGCGCTCTACCACTGAGCCACCTTCCCAGCCCCAGCATTGTCATTTAGATATGGATCTCACATATGAATGGAAACAGGAAGTGTTTGCCTTTTTGAGCTTGAGGTATCTCACTTAACATAATGTTCTTCTGTTTCATTCATTTTCCTGCCAATGACATAATTTCATTCTTTTTCATGATTAAATATGATTAAATATTGCTCCAAGTGGTGCTGTATATATGCCGTATTTTCTCTATCCATCTAACTGTTGTTGGGCAACTAGGCTGCTTCCACACTGGCCCTTGTGAACAGCACTGCAATAAACATGGATGGGCAGGTCTCTCTTGTGTATTGATTTACAATTTTTCAAATATATGCCTAACGGTGATAAGATAGATCATAAGGGTAATCTACATTTAGGTTTTTGAAGAATCTCCATGCTGATTTCCATCATGCTGCACTTGTTACATTCCCTCTAGCAGTGGATGAGAGGCCTTTTTCCCTAAATCCTCACCAACGTCGTTTGTTTTCTCAATGATTCTAATGATTTCTCAGTGATTCTATTCTGACTGAGGTGAAATGGAATCATACTGAAGTTTTGATTTGCATTTCCTTGATGTCTAATGATGTGGAACATTTCTTCAGGTATCTGCTAGCCATTTGGACTTCAGAACACTGTGTTTGTTTGACCATTGGTTAATTGAATTATTTGTTCTCTTGCTGTTTAATGTTTTTGAGTTCTTTGGATATTCTGCTATTAATCTTCTGTCTGTTGAATAGCTAGTGAAAATTTTCTTCTTTTCTGTGGGGTACCTCTTGGTTTTGGTGCTTGTTTCCTTCAAATACATCGTTATTTTTTATATTCCATTGTGTGCTTGTGTTCTTCCCTTGATAACCTGCTTTTCAGCAGTCAATGTATTTCTAATTGTTCTTTTCTTTCCACTGTTTTATTTATTTTTTAAACCTTATTGTAAAGGTGATGAATGGGGGAGGGGCTACAGTTACATAAGTAAGGAAATGAATACATTTCTTTTTAAACACTGTTACCCCCTTCCTCATTTCCTCCTGTTTATCTCTCCCCTTTCCCCTTCCCTCCAAGTTGTAAAGTTCATTTCCAACCTTGTGCCTAGTGAATATCATTGTTGTATTAGTTCATCCTTTGTCCTGCTGTTTTTGTGATTCCTTATCCCTTCCACGAACCAGATAAGCTTCTACACAAGACAAAGGGTACAAAAAACTAAAACAGAAAGAAAAAATACAAATACCTGTATACAGGACATATTAAGAACCTCTTGTTTCCAATTTTTGGGGTTCATTTTGATATGCTTCATTATATATTGTCTTATGCACTTAGCTATTGGGCTATTGTGATCCCCTGCTAAGAATTTCATAGATCTAATCATTCTTTGTTACATCTGATACCAAAGTGAACAATTCTTTGTATACAGCTGATAAATTGCTTTTCAAAGGATTCCATAGCAGCCAAATGAACAAAATCAGAAATCATATTTGTGGACAGTGGGAATACCTTAAATGGAAAGAACTTTCTTGGTTAGTGTCATCATCACAGTTCTTATTTCTTGTGGGTTATACAACACACCAGGAGCCTTTTCCTTTAAAGTCATGCAGCACAAAGCCTCCCTGCCTCCATGACAGAGTACACACACACACACACACACACACACAATGGTAGTCTCCTAAGACAATAGTTGAGCTAGGTAATTCCTATCATTTAATGTTTTTACTGGACCCTTCTGTCAATGTAAAAATACCCTCTATGTTATAATGTTATAGTATTCAGCTCAACGACATGCCAGGCAGGTAGATAGCATAGGTGTACAGTAGGCTTTTCTTTCTGGCTTGTGTGCATATGTTCTGTGTTGATTACAAAGCAGCAAAATAGCCTGACAGAGCAGTTCTCAGAATGAATCCCCACCATGTCACCCAGCTGTATTATCTTCTTAGCCCTAACCGAAGCCTGTGTGAACACTATTCTTATTCCTATTTATAAGCAGATTAAGTGAGGCAGAGAGAAGCAATGTAATCACCTCTTCCAGAGGGTGGGAGCCAGGATTTAGTGCATCTTTCTTATTCTAAAGTCTGTACTTTAGTCATGGTATCTTTTGTGATTAGGTTTGGAAACTCAAGAGGTGTTTGTAAAATGTTCTGCTGTCCATAGACTTTTCTGGCATGAAGTTTGATGGGTTTTCCTGCCTCCTACCTCTGTACTAAGACAATCTGCTTTCCTTAAGGCCAGATGTAGGCCCTCTTGCTCTGAGCCCAGTGTCACCTGACTGTTTGGCTCCCTGAATCTTCCTCTGCCCTTCTGATGTTTGTGTTATATTTTCATTGCAATTCATCAGATTATGACAGGACATGAAGAGTGTGTGCAAATGCTGCTGGAACAAGAAGTGTCCATTCTCTGCAAAGATTCCCGAGGGAGAACGCCCTTGCACTACGCAGCTGCAAGGGGCCACGCCACATGGCTGAGTGAGCTGCTTCAGATGGCTCTTTCTGAGGAGGACTGTTGTTTCAAAGACAACCAAGGCTACACACCGCTGCACTGGGCTTGTTACAATGGTGAGTTGCTTGCAATTCCACTGATTCCATAGACATCCAGCCCCAGGACCAGTGTGAAATAGCTCAGTGTTATGAACTGTGGCTTCCTCTTTCTGCACCCTAGAGGCTTGGTCGTTTTTGTTTGATTGGTTGGTTGGAACGATTTCCCCCTCTGTCCCTATCCTGTAGCTGCCATATGTCTTAGTTGGGCAGAAGTTCACTTGCCTCCTTTTGTTGCTCAGGAAGATATAACTCCTAATTAGAACTGACGGATTCAACTTTTCATTAGTTTCTGGACTATGTAAGAAAACTAGGAGCTTCACAAAGAATTAAAATAATATAGCTCAAAGCAAAAAATGAAATGAAATGTAATAATGAAATGTGATATGGAATAACCTGTCACAATGAATACTAAGAGAAACATGGTATTTTTCTTTGTTTTATATTCCACACTTATTGCACTTGTTATTTTGGAAATTTAAAATTTTAATTTCCCTGACATGAATAAAAAAAGAAACACATGCTAATTGTACCAAATGGAAAATTCAGAAGTGTCTACAGTAAAATTAAGTTTCATTGCCAAAACCATTTCCTGATGTACTGTGGTATCTTTCGCAATTTTTCCTCTGATACTATCAATAACTACGCATGAATGTGTATCTGCTTCTTGTTGTTGCTGGTATTAAGGCTTGGACTCAGAACTGTGAGCCTGCTAGGCAGGCAAGCTCTCTTACCACTTGAGCCGTACCTCCATCCCCTTTTTGCTTTCATTTGTTTTCACATAGGGCCTGTGCCTTTGCCCAGGGCTGGCCTCAAATTGAGATCCTCCAACCTCAGTCTCTTAAGTATCTGGAACTACAAGCACCACTGTTCTTAGCTTGTTTTATTGTTGATATTTTCCATGGTGGCACTGGGTTTGAATTTAGAGATTTTCCCTTTCTAGGCAAGTATTCTACCACTTGAGCCATGCCTTTAGCTCTTTTTGTTTGGGTTAATAGTTGAGACGGAGTTTTACTTTTTGCCCAGGTCAGACGGAACCATAATCCTTCTCCCACAGATGTGTCTCATAAACTTTGCTCAGGCTGGCCTAGAACCATGATCCTCCTGGTTTTAACCTTCATTATAGCTAGGTGACAGGCATCACCACCACACTCAACTATTGATTAACTTTATTCCCTGGCTGTCCACAAACCACAGTCCTCTCTCTATCTTACAAGCAATTAGGATGCACCACCACACTAGCCCTAGAATGTTTAACTAATATAACAAATATCATTCTAGAATTTTCAATGTTTTCATGCTTACTTAAAATTCTATTTCAAAATATTCTCCTTTTTTGCAGAATGTTCTCACAAGTTAGCACAATCACAACAGTAAACTATGGAACCAGCCTAGGTGTTTATCAGCTGATGAATGGACAAAGAAAATATGATGGGCCCGTGCCTGTAATTCTAGCTATGGGGGAAGTGGACAGAGGAGGCTTGTGGTTAGAGGCCATTTGGCACAAGAATGTTAGAGACCTGATTTCAAACAACAAGCTGAGCATGGTGGTTCTCACCTATAATCCTAGCTACATAGAAGGTGAAGGTAGGAGGGTAGTTGTATGAGGAGAATAGTGATCAGTGGCCCTTGGCAAATGTGACATACTCTGTCTGAAAAATAACTAAATCAAATAGCTAAATAAGTGCTAAAAATAAAAAGCTTATCACATTTATTCATCTACTTATTAAAAAATACTCATTAGATGCTGTGTACCATCTTCCCCTAACAACATTTCCATAGTAATCTGCTCAGAGCCTTTTAACGGGCCCTCCTCATCAAAGAGTGCATTCTACTAATCACATCCTCTCCCCTGGGCTAGAGGGTGGAACATATTAACATATTCATGAGGGTGAAAGGTCAAACTCCTATTTATAAATATGGTCAAATGGAGGCATGTGCATGTTAGGCATCTGTCAAGGGTGGAGGGTAACACCGAATTCAGTGAGCTTGCAGAGCTGTCTTCCTTATCTGCACCGGATCATATGGCCTTCACTATTTCATTTCTTCATTTTGCCGTAGAACACCTGTGAGCCGGGTTGTTAATTTTCTTCCATGGAAAATGAACACTCAAGGCAATCGGGGACAGTTCCTAAACTAGAATTTAATACTTAAGTGGGAAAAAAAATACAAAAGTCCCCAACTGTGCTGAACAAAGATTCTTTCTTGGAAATGCCCTAAGTTCATTTGATTCCTTACAGGTAATGAAAACTGTCTAGAGGTACTTTTGGAGCAGAAATGTTTTCGAAAATTTATGGGTAATCCCTTCACTCCACTGCACTGTGCAATGTAAGTAGAAATAAGTCAGGGGCGGGGGCGGGGGGGGGGGGGCGGGGGGGGGGGTCAAGGGGACAGGTGTTAAGCTACATGTAGAAAGATTGCCTTTTAGGGAAGGAAAAAGTGATTGTAGATAAGATTAAAATATTCCATTTTGCTGCTAAGGACAAATAGGGTGGTTGTAAGGTGTGGACCCCAATGTTAATGAATCTCCAGGAGCTTGTGGTAGGGTGCTGCCATCCCAAGGTGACTCAGAACCACCTTAAGAAGTTGCATGAAGGGCTAGGCCTCAGGGCACATTCCTCATGGTCAGAACTATGCCTCAGTGGTTGCTTACATCTGTCTTCCAAATCCTAAAATTAAGTCAAGCTTAACAACTAGAGGCCTATGCATGGTTAAGCATTTTTCTACCAGAAAGACTTTGCATGTAATTCTCCACTGTTTGTATGTGCTAAACATTTTTATCTTTTGCAAATATAATTTATTTTCCTTCTCATAGTTTGAGTTATTATTCAGAGGGTACAGTGACTTTAAGTGAGACTTCTGTGGTCAGCCTGGGAACCAAGATCTAAAGATGCTTGGTTGTTCACATTGTCACATGACACTTGTTTCATTGATTATAAACATATTGAAGGAATATAATAACTCAAGCAATGAAGTGTAGGTGACAAAGGATCTGGGTTATTTTAAATGCCTGACACAGTCTCATTAACTAATCTGCAATGAGCTTCTACCTGAGTAAAGAGGTTGAAAAGAGAAGCTAAGGGTTATAAGGTTCAAACACTTCCACAAATACTGGCATCAGATCATTTCGCATACAGTGTAACAATATGTGTAATGTTAGACAGTATGTTTGGCACATATATATTGTTATACATACAGTGCATAGGAAGATGGGATACGAAGGACTATATAATTTATTTCCATTAAAATCCATTTTCATTTCAGAATAAATGACCATGAGAATTGTGCATCATTGCTGCTGGGGGCCATAGATTCCAATATTGTCAGTTGTCGAGATGACAAAGGCAGGTAAGTGATCCTAAAATGGCACGATTTGTCTCGATGAGTCCTAATCCTTGCTTTGCAGTCACAGAGCAGCAAACTTTTTAAAAAAATTGTTTGTGTTTGATATTTTAATGGTTCTAAGGATTAAACCCAAGGCTTCATAGGTGTGGGGCAAGTCCTGAATCACCGGGCCACATCCTCAGTCTTTGTCTTCTTGAGACAAGACTTACTTTGTAGCCTAAGCTAGCCTTGAAGTCGCCATCTTCCTGCCTCTACCTCCTGAATGTTGGAATTAAAGGCATAAATCACCACACCTAGACAGACATCTGTTTCTATTTATTTATTTATTGTGAGAAAACTGTACAGAGGGGTTACAATTACATGGGCAAGACAACAAGTACATCTCTTATCAAGCATTGTTGCCTCCTCCTTGTTTCCCCTTCCCATTCCTTCCCATACTTCTCCCCTCCCCCCAACCCATCCTCCCCTCACTCCCCCACCAAAGTTGTTAAGTTCGTTTTTTCGACATAACGACTTGTACATCTCAGTTTGCAATGGGTGCACTTGTATCCCTATTTAAACGATTTGTTTTTTTCCCTTCCCCTCCACAAATTATACCAACATCAAATACAGTGAAAGTATGGGTTATACTGTGGGGGAGGGACATACAAAGCAACGAAGAAATCCTCATATAAATACGATAGAAATAATTGCATGAAAAGAAAAAAAATTTTTGAATACTTATCTTGGGTTTCATTCCACTAACATTACCTTATCTGACCGTTTCTGCTTGACTCAGACATATACTAGTTATTGCAAGTAAGGGAAACCATGGGACCTATGTTTCTTTGGGCCTGGCTTACTTCACTTAATATAATTTTTTCCAAGTCTTTCTATTTCCTAACAAATGGGGAAATGTCATTCTTCCTGATGGAGGCATAAAATTCCATTGTATATATATACACCACATTTTCTTGATCCATTCATCTACTGAGGAGCATCTGGGTTAGTTCCATATCTTAGCTATGGTAAATAATGCTGCAATAAACATGGTCATGCTGGTAGCTTTAGTGTGGTCTTGTTTGTGATCATTTGGGTAAATGCCCAAAAGTGGGATTGCTGGGTCATAGGAGAGCTCTATGTGGAGTCTTTTGAGGAACCTCCATACTGCTTTCCAAAGTGGTTGAACAAGTTTACACTCCCACCAACAATGCACTAAGGTCCCCTTCTGGCTACATCCCCTCCAGCATCTGTTGTTATTAAAATTCTTGATTATAGCCATTCTAACTGGGGTGAAGTGGTATCTCAATGTTGTTTTGATTTGCATTTCTTTTATGGCTAGAGAGGTTGAGCATTTCTTTGTGTGTCTATTGGCCATTCTTCTTTCCTCTTTAGAGAAGTTTCTCTTTAAGTCTTTAGCTCACTTATTTATTGGGCAGTTGTTTCTTTGAAGATTTGTTGTTGGGGGATTTAATATTTTGAGTTCCAGGTATATTTTAGATATGAGACCCTTGTCTGTTGTATGGCTAGTGAAGATCTTCTCCCAATCCGTGGGATTTCTAAACATGTGTTTCTTAATTGAGTTTTTAAAATTACATATTACAAAGCTGGGCACCGATGGCTTATGGCTATAATCCTAATTACTCAGGAGGCTGAAATCTGAAGATCATGATTCAAAGGCAGCCTGAGCAGGAAAGTCTCTGATATCTCCAATAAGCCACTTAGAAACCAGAAGTGGCTTTGTGGCTCAAGTGGTAGAGCTCTAGATTTGAGCACAAAGAGGCTTAGAGACTGTGCCCAGGCCCTGAGTTCAAATAAAGTTACATATTACAAAAAATATGCAATTAAAAAGTTTTCCCTCTTAACCTAGAATCCCAAACCTCTTCCTTAAAAGGTTTTTTTTATTCTCCTAAATATTTTTATAGACTCCTAAATATTTTCTATACATATCCTTTGTGTGCATATATTCTTTTTATATAAATCAGAGCACTGCTTTTAGTACATATTGGAGGTGTTCCTGTGCCAAGATACACATTTTACCATATTCTTTTTAAAGTTGTATGTTATTTCATTGACTGAATTTACTAGATTTTCCTTAGCCTGTCTTCTATTGAAGAACATTTTTTCAATATTTTACTATCTCAAAGAAGCAGCACAATGAGCATTCTTACATATGAATGAATATGCACACATGGCCACACATTTATTTTCTGTGGAAAATAAATCCTAAGAATGGAGGACTGAGCATGTGGTTGAGGGTAGAGTGCTTACTGAACAAATACAAGGCCCCAAGTTTAGACCTCAATACTGACAAGAAAGTAAGAAAGAAAGGGAAAGAGAGAGAGAGAAACTTAAAGTCCTAGTGCTGATATTACTTGATTAGAAGCTTTAACTTTAATAATATCAAATTATCCTCCCAAAGTCATTAACCATCCATGTTAGATAACATAGGCCTTAATTTTTTTTATTTAATCAACTACCTCCACAATTTAAGGCTCACTTTTGGAAGAATCTATCTGAAAGATGAATGACGTCACTAGATTTCACGATTAAAGGGTCATTAAAGATGCTAATGTCTGGACATACACCCCCCAAATCTGAGGGGGCCACTCACATAAGTGGGATCTTGATCATTATCTCTGTCTACTGTAAAGCCTTAGGTAACTCCATGTTTCTGTGTCCTGGCAGTTACTAAACAGAGAATAAGTTTAAAGGAAGCTAAATGAAAAACATTTGTTTGACATCTTTAGGACACCCCTTCATGCGGCAGCTTTTGGGGATCATGTAGAATGCTTGCAGCTTCTTTTGAGACACAATGCCCAAGTGAACGCAGTGGATAATTCAGGAAAGACGGCGCTGATGATGGCCGCTGAGAACGGACAGGCAGGTGCTGTGGGTAAGTACTTGCCCTGTGGACTTTGCATTTCCGCCTATCCAAACCAAAGGAAAACTGAGAAATAGATGATCTTCTACTAAACACACTTGACAAAGAGCCATTGTCAGTTTCGCTGAAGCCACCTGACTCCATTTGCTCAGAGGTTTCTGCTTCCTGTAAGGTGCTTCGACCTTGTCAGTGTAGGCACACAGTGAAGTGCCTCAATGTTAGAAACCAAATACAGCAGAGACATTATAACTGAAAATAATAAAACACTAAAGATAATTAAAACTATCAGCTTCCAATTTGAGTAGAACGCATAGGGCACTACCTGGCTCTCTTCCTCTTTCAACAGCATTAAATAATATGTAATCTGAATTCAGTCCTCAGATCTGAAAAATAAAGATAAGCTGTGTAATTTAAATATTCTTTTTGTTTTTCTGTTGCAACTTTACCACACATATCATTAGCATTTAGTCTAAATTGGTTAATTTATTTATTCTTTTTTTCTACAGATATCTTGGTGAATAGTGCCCAGGCTGATCTGACTATAAAGGATAAAGACTTGAATACACCATTACATTTGGCTAGTAGCAAAGTATGTAAATGAAATTTAAGCATCATTAGTTAGTATTGTAATAACAATAATCCCACTGAAGTTCTATCTATCTGGGAAGCATTTAGCATGGCTCTTGAATAAGGTGTACATCTGCAGGGATGTTGTCAGTGTGAGTGGAATACGGGGGGAGGGGTTAGAAAGGGCAGAACCCCAGGTCCAGCACAGGGAGTGAGAAGAACATGATTTTCATGGTCTTTGCCACTTGCAGTTTTGCCACATTCCACCTATTCTATTGGTGCCACTGCATCTGTCTCCCTGGTTGTGGCATTACATTTGGTACCATATAACAGGTTAGGACCTCAGTTACATGCCTTCTAAGCAGTTCTGCTTGCTTTCCTTTGTTCCACCTAAAGACATTGTAATAACATGGCCCCAAATACTCTGTGAAGCAAATAAATGTATCCTTATGCATCCTTTCCTCCTGGGACTGAAACCAGGGCCTTGCTACCACTTTACCTGGGCCCTCCATAGGACATTGTTTTGATACAGGATCTAACTATATAGATTGTCTGACTTTGAACTTGAGATAGTCCTGCCTTGAGTTCCTGAATGCTAGGATTCAGGTTTACATCATAATCTTTGACTCTTCTTTTCCCCCATTGATGGAGCTAAAATCCCAAGTGTTGTACAGACAAGAAGCACTGAGCCATATTCTCAGCTCCTTATGCGTAGTTAAGTGCAAAGAATATGAGATTTTCCTTTTTTGTTATTGTTAGTGTTTTGTTCACACACTCACACGTACATGTATGTATATATGCGTAATTTTACTACAAAAGGCATTACAGCACAATGCGAGTTGACAGCAGTGATGGACGTTTATTTTAGCATGGCTAAAGTAGTGTTTAAGTCTCAGACTTTTCCTTTATTGGTTGTATTTTCTCACTTCATACTCTGGGAAGCCCATGGAAACCACAAAACATGCCCAGTCTCATGGAGTTTATTTAGTATGTTAGTGAATGTCTTACTTTGTTAAACTATAGAATCTGGCTAAGTATGACGGCAGATAATCTGAAATCCTAACACTTAGGTGGCAGAGGCAGGAGGGTTGTGAATTTAAGACTAGCCTGGGCTACCTAATAACAGTATTTCAGAATTTTAATTAACATTAATTAATTAATTAGTTAAAAATAATAGTTCTATAATAGTAGGATTGGGTGGAACGTAAGATTCAACTTTTTAAAAAGAAATTTTTTTTGCCAGTCCTGACACTTGAACTCAGAGCCTGGGCACTGTCCCTGAGCTGCCTCTGCTCAAGGCTCGCACTCTACCACGTGAACCACAGTGCCACTTCTGGCCTTCTTTGAGTAGTTTATTGGAAATGAGAGTCTCACGGACTTTCCTTCCCCAGGCTAGTTTCAAATCTTGATCCTCAGATCTCAGCCTCCTGAATTTTGCTTTTTAAGCTTCTTCTTTCTGTTTTTGGAAACAAAGTCTCACTATGCAGCCCAGAAGAGTCAACATTTCTAAGTCCCAAGTGGTGCTGCTGACTATGCAGGTCTATGGATCATATTAGCAAAGGCTTTGGAATCCATGGTTGTCTAAAGAGGCACTAAGCTTGAAGTTTTTAAAGGATTTCTGACTTGACAATTGATTTATTAAAAATTATGAACCATCTATTATGATAAGATCCAAAAATACCTTTCCCTAGCTGAGTAACGGAAGAAGCTCTCCAGAAACATATGGTCATAAATGATGACCCACAGTGTGGTGAGATTTGTGAGGCTAAACGGATCTCTGAAGTGGTAATTGAAGGAGGAGAAATTTGATGCATATTTACTAAGTAATGTTGAAGGCTTTAAAGGAGCATCTAATTCTGCTATCTACCAGCTGACCTAGCTAAACTAGCATCTGCTTTAGCTCTCTGGACATTAATTCCAAAAATTATCTTGGAATATTAATATTAACTATGAATATTTTAGAACAGACAAATGTTAACTAAGTCCTAATAGACCTTATTTAGAATCTTAGAGTATCTGGGGCCCATTTACTTTTTAGGGAAAAAAAAAGTTGCTCAGAAAATAGCCCTGTAGAATATTTTTTAGGCAGAAGAAATGTATTTTCCATTTAAGGCCTACCGAAAAAAAATTTCACGAACTTGTCTTTGTCTCTGCTTCATATTCCTTATTGTTTTTCTTTATTAGGGTCATGAAAAATGTGCCTTGTTAATACTTGACAAGATACAAGATGAGAGCCTTATTAATGCAAAAAACAATGCACTGCAGACGTAAGTATAACGGCTACCGTTTGACTTGTATACAAGTCCCTGTCATTTATTCAGCAAATGTGAAGAACCTGCCATGTGCCAGCCTTGTTCCTGGGAACTTGTGGCTACAGATGCAGACCTGGCTTCTCCACATCACACACCTGCAAGTGTTGACTAGCAAGGCAGTTTCAGTAGGGATCCTTGTTGTGATATGCCTTCACAGATTTTGTAAGGTCTTTGTTTTCCTCTGCTGATATTTCTGTGGCAGCATTATCAATCTAGTGAGCTGTGTGAAAAATCTTATGGCATTGTGAACTGACATATTTGGGGAAACTATTTGTAGTATGTATCAGCATTATATATTCGGACAGGGAAACAACAGTTTTGTAAATCAGGTTTCCGAAGAGTCTCTAACCTATTTATTTTAATTATACATTAATATCATTCACTGTAACCCTCAGTGTGAAAAATCTAAAAGCTGCTTCACTTTCCATTTTGGGAAATTACATAGACACTTGTTTTAAAGGCAAAGGAATATTAGAATATTCTTTCATTTAACATTCCTAAACAATTTATTTAACACACTGTAATGAGTTATACATTAGCCTATAAAAATCCAATAAAACCTCTGTATGTGATTAATAATAAGGATATTTGGGGGACTGTACATTATTTACCAGTCATCTTGATGAACTGCATGAAACAGTGACTTGAATGTTGAAGTGGAAATTAGGCAGTAAAGAACCACAAAACACACCAAAGCTTAGATTCATATGGGTTTCTTTGAGCTTATTTTAGATTGTTTGCAACACTGACCCAGAAATCTGGGCTGAATATGTAAGAGTAGTTGGGTTGTTAATACCTGGAAAAGATCAGCTGTACCCATATCTTTATACTATTATTATTATCACCACCATCTTTAAATTGTTGTACAAAGAGGTTTCAATTCAACAAATTAACTTCTAATGCATCTTGATCAGTATCACCCATTTAACATATAGCCTATTAAAAAGTAAAAGATATGCATAATTTGCAGACTGTTAAGAACTTTTTTCTTTTGGTGATATCATCTGACCAAAATGTTATACTTATATAGCTTTCTATTACTATATTGAATGCCTGGCATAATCAACTTAGGAAGAGAAAAGATTTGCTTTGCTTACAGTTAGAGGTTTCAGTTCATAATGGTTGGCCAGTCAAGGTGGAGAGCATATGCCAGTGCACAGCTGTTCTCCATGACCAGGACAGAGAAAAGAAAAAGATGGAGGCCCACAATTCCATCAAGGTCACACTATTAATAACCTAAAATCGCCCCTTATAAAGATGCTGCTATCTTTCATTAGCTCCAAGTTTGGGACCAATCCTTTAACATGTGGACCTTTGGGAACATTCCAGGTCCAAACACAACACTTACATAAATATATGGCATAACTGATGTTTGGTGTCCTTTTTCTTTCCTAGACCCCTTCATGTTGCTGCGCGCAATGGCTTGAAGGTCGTAGTTGAGGAGCTGTTGGCCAAAGGAGCCTGTGTTCTTGCTATAGATGAAAATGGTAAGTGGAAAAGAAATTAAAAATTGCTGCAGCTACTTCTCATATGCTAGTTGAAGCCAGGGGAATGAGAGAAGGGTAGGCGCTTAAAAAGGAAGGAAAAATTCTCCCCCTTGGAGGTATCATGTGTATAAGAATTCAACAAAGGAAAACATGTCCTGTCTGATTTCTGTAAAACACATTGTCTACCTGTAGCCCACCAGTGCTATCCATTTTGCATGTAACATCAGCAACTGACCTCTAACTCCTCAGCTCTGTAGTTAACATGTTTAAGGCAAAGTCAAAACCTTTCAACTTGGCATTTAGGGTTCTAACTGCAAATGCTAAAGAGTTAGAGATTACATATGTCATTAGTGCATGCTAACAGGCTAAAAAAAACTCTAGTTCTTTGACTATTTCAATTCATTCTGAGATCAAACTCTATTTATTTGTTTGTTTGTTTATGTGTGTGCCATTTCTGGCACTTGAACTCAGGGTATGAGCATTGTCCCTGAGCCTTTTTGCTCAAAGCTAGTACTCTACCACTTGAACCACAGCTCCACTTTCATCTTTTTGCTGGATAATTAGAATCTCAAAGACTTTCCTACACAGGCTGGCTTTGAACAGCCATCCTCAAATTATAGCCTCCTGAGTAGCCAGGAATACAGGCATGAGCCCCCAGTACCTAGCACCTTTTATATTTTTAAAGTGAACATCAGAACTCATTTTCCTAATCTGGAAATTAGGAGAACAAAAGTAAAAAAAAAACAAAACAATTTCATGCCAGAGCTGGGGCTTGAACTCAAACCACGTCATTTTCCCTCAAGCATCCTTGTTATCATTTGAGCCACAGCTTCACTTCTGGCTTTTTGCTGGTTAATTGGAGAAAAGAGTCTCATATTCTTTCCTGCCTAGAGTGACTTTGAACTATGATCCTTAGATCTCAGCCTCCTGAATTGCTAGGATTACAGGCATGAGCCATCAGAGCCCAGGAAGTAATAAATTTTAATTAGGTCTAGACTTGTAAGCTTCTTCTGATCTATATAACATTTCTTTTCTAAATTAGATAATTATTTTTTCTTTTTGCTTATGTGGTGCTGAGGAATTGAACCCAGGGACTCATGCATGCAAGGCAAGCGCTCTACCAATGAGCCACCTTCCCAGCCCCTCTAAATTAGATAATTCTTGTCAGAAGCTTTCTACTCTGTCCTATAAAATTTTGGAAACTAACGAGTACTAGAATAAAACTGAACACCCATTCTAAGCTCCATGCCTCTTACCCTTGAGAGCCAAAGAGGAACTTTTGGATACTTATAAATTATGTAATTTTTAAATGTGGCATTATCATGGTCTAATTAAAGTATTCTAATGTATTAATGTAACTCAATTAACTGCTTATTACAGGTATTGGATTTAGCAGCCCATGCCTATTTCTCAGAAGTAAGCAGCCATGCTGACATATTAGCTGACATATTAGTTTTGGGTTTGCCATCCTATTTATCCTAGCATGTACCCTGCTCTATTCCCAACCCTACTCATCTAGGAAGCACCAAAGTTTTGTGACTCCATCCCTTGGTTCTCCCTCCCCTTTTCCTTACCCTCTGATCACTTATATATGCTTCAGCCCACAATTTTCCTCCAAAATGACCAAGAAGACCAGAATAAATGAGTTTTGCCTTTTTCTAATGTAAATAAATCTGCTGCCCCTGAGGTTTAGTTAGCCTTTAGGATCAAGAGCCTTGGGTCGATAGACTGCCTCTCTAGGAGTGCTGCCTTTCTAGGAGCTTAGCTGCTTCCTTGCTTCCTCAGGACGTAGGACATTTGGGAGCAATTTTGTGCAGCATTAAAATAATAATTCCCTTCTACACCATGATCCTTCCTGGAATGAGATGTTAACGTATGTGTCCATTCTTGTTTGTGTTCCCACCTTAGAGAGAGGCATGATTTCTTAAAGGTTGAGTGAGGAAGTTGTATGAAGCCAGTTCCTCTGAATGGCTGGCTGAGAGACTATACTAGTGTAGGGGGAAATTTAGCCTACAGAGTGGGCCAACAGGACAGAGGTTGGACAAGGGTAGCAATGCAATCATAGAATTAACCTCTCCAAAGCACCCATGTGATATGGTCAGGCAGCTTTCTCATCTGGAGTAGACTCAAAGTTTAGCTGATAGAGAATGACACCGTTCTTATTATGGCCAGCACAGTCATTTGCTGCCGCTGTTACAGCTCAAATTTGGGCCTTTGGTTAGTGAGGTAGTGAATTTTTTTTTTTTTTTTGTAAATTCTGTTAAAGTTTTTTAAGTGGTAATAAGTCTTTGATGGCTTCTATCAATGATTGTTGTTACATCTCCATACATGATTACTCTGTACTCCAGTCCATTTTACCTTATCCCACAGTAGGGCTAATCACAAACGAACACTCTCCAATGTCTAATCTCTTCAAATCATTCCAGTTTTCTAAAACCAGTTAATTGATCTACAGTTCCACTGAAGTGGCAAGACCACATCAGTCGTCTTGACAGTCCTCTAATTTCCAGTATTTTCACTAACCTGACACGCAGTTACCTGCCGTGTTAAGTCATTGTTCTCAGAATGAGAGTCCTCCTCAGGCCAGGCCTGGAGCTCATGGTGTGTGCGTGCTCTCTGCTGGAAATGTCTTCCTGGTTGTCGTGTCACTAGTTTTTGTGGAATTGTGTCCCACCCCTACCACCTCATGTTTCTATCCATTAGAGGAACCCTTCCAGCCTCACCCCCTAGCATGACTTGTGAGAAGTAACTCCTTGCACCTGGCATGAATTCTAACTCAACATACATCTCCACTCCGAGGTTGTAGGAGATGTACTGTGGAATGCTCGTGGCGCTCTGGACCCCTAGGACTAACCACTGCTTTGTCTGCATTTATGCCCAGGTCATACCCCGGCCCTCGCTTGTGCTCCTAGCAAAGACGTGGCTGACTGCCTGGCTCTCATTTTGGCTACCATGATGCCTTTTTCTCCTCCCAGTACAATGACGGCTGTCAACTTCGTTTGTTTTAAAAAAGACAATTTGAGCAGGACGACCCTCTCCAACCTAGGTAGCATGGTTAGCCTGTGCAGTAACAACGTAGGCTCCGAGGACGGGTACAATGAAAATGATTCTGATTCTGAAACATTCTGACTTTGGACTGTAGAAGCTTTTTCTTGATCATCTATGCTGGAGGAAGGGAAAGAAAGAAGCTTGAACTCCAAGTTTATGCTGTGTCCCCAGTATTTGGAGACCACAGCCAATAGAGAAAGCATCAACCGAAGGGAGGCGAGCTAGGCTGGCTGTAGTGTGAAATGCTCACACGAATGTGTCCTGATTTTGTTTTGTTTCTCGTTTTCCTTAAATCTAAGGTACTTCTCTGAAAGACTACCTCTCATTCTAAGCAAAGAATTTCAAAGTATTATGTTATTTTTCTCTGGGGGTAATACAACAGACCGGCAACTGTTCACTATAGAGACCCCTCCCCATCCCCCTACATACTTAGCAGTTTAGTTCTTAGAAGGCCATCAATGTGACATTCATGTCCCCTGGGAGGGGAGGGCTGGGATGGACAGGAAACCGCTTCTCCTTTAATGTTTACTCCCTTACTAGAAGCCAGAGGTAAAGGTGTTCATCTTCAGAGCTAAAAATGCCTATAATAATATTTCTTTTCTTTTGTTTTCTTTTTTAAAAAAAGGGAATCCAAACTATTTCTGTCCTCTCTGTAGTAAGAACTTAAATGTCCTCAATTTCCTTCTGAGGATGTTTGTTCAGATGGCCTAATGAATGGAAAAACTGAATGTGCTTTATTTTAGTTAAAACAAATATGGCACCAGTGCTTCCCATTAATAAGCCTGGGACAAATTTTTCACCCAGGTGATTGAACCCAAATCTAGCCACTAACATTCCAGGCATGAAATTATTTTGCACCAAAGCATTGAGACAACATGCCAATTTCATGTGAAACAGCCCTCAGATAATTTGTTCTTTAAATCAAAAAACTTTTTTGAAGACATCAGAATCGTCAGCATTGTCAATGAATTAGTAAAATATTAAGTGAGCTTCTCAGTCAAGGAGTCAAGTCCTTGTCAAGTGAGTGAAAGGGTGATTATCAACGGGAACCAAGGAAGTGGATGCAGGAAGTAGAAATGGGAGATATGGAAATGAAATCCAATTGCCAGTTGCTTGATGATGAAATCAACATAGTGACTACTGTGTCTACTCCCTCTGCCAAAGCTTCTAGGTTGAATGGACCCCGTTCTACACTTGGAACAGCTGTACAAAAAGAAGAATGAGACTTTAAAAATTATGCACAGACACACGTTGGTGTGTATATAAATATGTACGTAGTCCCTCAACCAGCTATCCATGAGGACCAATACTTCAGACTCAAATGGAAGATTTAAATTTTTTTCTTTCAAAATGCGAGTGAGAACTGTAGTAGCTTTTCTATGGAGTTTTAAAAAAAAAATGTAATCTTTTTGTGTACCAGTCTTTATTGTATTTTATATTTCTTATGACACAGATTTCTAGTTGATGGTTTAACATTTGTAATTGATGATGTGTTGACCACAGTTTATTTTCTTGCCAAACTAGAGAAAATGTCTGTATACTTCTGAGGTGAATGTGTTTATATTTATTTGAAATGAAACAAATGCCAAGGAAACATTTACTGTTACTTCTCTGTTTTAATTGCTGTGTACTTATTTGGAATATAAAAAAAAAGTGGAAAATTACCCTTGACCCTTGGTTAGACAACAGCACTGGGGACTAATCCAGCATTTCCACTACTAATGTTTCCGGCCAGCCCTCAGGTTCATTCATTGCTCAGCCCCAGCTTATAAGATATTGCCCTTCTTATGCAAGATGAAAACTGAAATGTGAGGTGTATCATGTACATCAAGGTGGCCCAAAGGAAAATAAAAAACAAATTACCCTAAATACACTGAAAATCTTAAAAAGAAATGGGAAATGATGTCAGCTAGGACACTGTGCCAAGAGAGGGTTAAAAATCACCAGCCCAAATGATATTTTCCAATTGAGGAAGAGACAGGGAAGAAAGATGTTGCACAAAGGCAGGCCTTTTCAACATTTTATAATAGCTTACATCTTCACCCTGCACATTTCTATTTTATAGTGTCTGTGTGAGATCATTTTTTTTAAAACTGTCCATCACATCTGTATACATATGGATAATGTATTATTTTTTCCATCAGCTGCAAAAGACTTTAATCATATTCTTTTAATGGCCTAGGTGCAATTAAAACTCATCGTGTATGTTCAACTTCAACATGAGAACATATTCAAAGGTCTTATAAGGAAAATAGAATTATAATTTTATAAAAATTTCCTCCACCACCACCACCATTATTTTTTAAACTCTTGGTGTTATGTTTTCTTCCATCTTCCATTCTTTTTGTTCAGAGAAGATGGATTTTTTAAGTAGATAAATTGTTAATAAGCAATAATGCCTTTGTCATCAAAACACTGAATATAGGCACTTCAGTGTTGAGGAAACATGCTACACTGAGCTGTCATTTTCTAGAAGTGAATGGAAATCTTGCTCAGTTGGCATTTAAAGCAAGAAAGGAAATGCTTGCATTAATGGTAAGGCAGCATTAACATTTTTTCCTATAGAATGACTGAGAATAGAAGGATGGTTCAGCAAAGCAGTGAACTATCATGAGACATTTTATCCACAGAGCTGCACTTGGACTCTTCCTCACTCATTTTAATAGAAGGACAAAGGAACACAATGCTTACAATGAACTGGTCATTCAGTCAATCTCTCCCCTCATTTGGTTTCTCTCTTCCAACAAGACCTTTTTTTTCTTTAAAGAAATAACTTTAAAACAAAATTTCTGTGTATTTCAATTAAATCACTTAGAAATAAAATTATGTTTGCAACCTAACTTTCTGAGAAGGGAAAAATCAGAAAATGCATTTTGAATCAAGTCCTAGTTGATGAGTGCTTTACCTTAATGTGTTATGTTTAGACTCTTGTTTTATCCATAGCCATGATGATCATGTTTTATTATCTATTTGCCAGTGTCTGCCTACCTTTGCTAAATACATTCCTATCTCGAAATTGCCTAAAATCTGCTATGATTGATTCTACAGTAAATAGCTCAGGGGATTTCTATTTATCATTACTAAAAGGGCACCAGAGTATGTTTTGGTACTTTAGGCAGTGAACAGCTGCTTATTTTAGTATTTTGTCTTATTTTAGTATTGAGTTAGGAGAAGAACATCTAGTGGGCTTGCTGCACTAGTTATTCTTCGTATTGTTGAGCAACTTAATTTGCTTTTCTCTTTCTTTGGTTTCTTGAAGAACTCATCTTTTTAAAACAATTTTGGTCTTGTAACATGAAGTTAGAGTGCCTTTTATATTTGTATATTCTGAAACTGTTCTGTGAAATTGTTCTCATTTGAGTGTTATCAGAGCAATATAATACCAGTAAGTTTTCATTTCAACCTTCCTTTGTACAAAGTGTTTGTTTCCTATTTCCCCATTTTTTTCTGCTTTGAAAATGAAAATGCTGAAGTTTTCTATAGGAATGATGTTTGATTTTGCAGTGCTAAAATGCTTTCTTCTTACAAAACTGTAAACCATAGGTCAGTATTATAGGGGAAAAGCGTTTTAAGATAGTGACAATCTGAGTGTGTGTATAAAATGTAATCCTATGTGTTTCTTACACAGTGATTTAAGGGTTCCATGCAAGTATCTTTTGTTTGGTAGTTTCGTCTACAGACTTTCTGCTTTAGCATGTGCAATATATCTTTGCAAAGCACGATGATACGAATTTGGTGCCAGTGTTTTATTTTGTATAACATCTTTGTACCAGCATAAAATATTGTTTGCTATTTCAATGGGATTTTTGTCTGAAATGTTTTCTTATGTAAATTGGAGTTAAATGACTCCAGGAAATGTCATGACTGTAAAAATGAGGAAAACGGCTTTTAGTTCAGTGAATGACTTTGAACCAGTCTGAATCGTCTCAAGCACAGTTTAATACTTTTGCAACTACTGAATGCTCTAATAATGTAATGAAGTACTTAACTGTAATATACTTTGGAAATGCATTCAGATGGTTATTTTTACAAATAAAAATGGTACAAATATTGTCGCAATTGGTGTTTTCTTTATCCAATGTATGTGGTTTCCAAATTATGCTAATTTAAATATTTGTCCTCCCCTTAACCAAATTACATCTTGAAAATAATCAAGATAGAGGTGCATCTAACTCCATTTTATTGTTATTTCTCTTTGTACTATCATAATATGAGAGAAAATTTCAAGTATCTATGTTGTGTCTACTTACTTATGCCTCTGACATTTTCCATGAAGAATTTCAGCTGGCTGGCAACAAGACATATAATAAAAACCAAGCAGGAAAGTTAGGATGGGGAAAAGAGTACTAACAAATATAAGAACTATGAAATTTGTCACAGTAGCTATAGCTAAATTTGAGTTTTCACTAAGTCTCTTTGAAGGTAAGGGAAAAGGGAAATGCTACAGGTTATGGTTTGTAAATGTAAGGAAAGAGGAAGCAAAGTGGGTCTTCAAAATTGTGAAACCAGTAGTTTGTCTCCATCGCCATCACTGCTACTCTTTAGCTGCTCCATAGCAATGACAGAGCCTACCTCTCTGCATGTATCTTAAAGATATCCATGCAATTCTGATCTCCATCTTTGTTACTATCTACAATTTCTCTTCTGTGTTCTCTGCCACATGTTTTGTCTATTCTGTTAGAGATGTTCAGGAATGTTTGGTGCTCAGCTCTGCCTCAGTTTTTTATTTAAATCCAAATACTATTTGGTCTTAAAAACTATACGTCATAGGGGCTGGGAAGGTGGCTCAGTGGTAGAGTGCTTGCCTTGCATGCACGAGGCCCTGCGTTCGATTCCTCAGAACCACATAAGCAGAAAAAGCTGGAAGTGGTGCTGTGGCTCAAGTGGTAGAGTGTTCACCTTGAGCTGAAGAGCTGAGGGACAGCGCACAGGCCCAGAGTTCAGGTCCCATGACCAACAAAACAAACAAACAAAAAACCTATACATCATGAATCATATCACAAGTATTTACCAACTTAGAGCAGGCAGAGTGTTTTTGTTTTGTCTGTTGCTGAATAACAAATGACTCCTAACCTTCGTGACTTAAAACAACAAATAGTTAACTACATCCTAGTGCTGTGAGTTCATCAAGGTCTATCTGGATCTGCTACATGGTCTATTACAGGCTGTAATCAGGGGTTGATGCGTTGCTAGGTCTGCCCACAAGGCTAGACTGAAAGGATTCTTCATGGGTTGTTGGAATAAGTGCGTCATTTCTTTAATGAATGTTGGCTGTCCTTTCCAAATGGGCATTTCTCTCTTGAGACAACTTATGTTGAGATAGCAAGCATTCTAAGAAAAGCCAGAGAGAAGTCTGGGCACTGTGGCTTAAGGAGAATACTTGTCTAATATGCATAAGATTTTAAGTTCAATCCCAGTATTCCTCCTTGACCCCAAAAATGAAAATAAAAAAGCCACAAGCCAGTGACTACTTAGGAGGCTGAGGATCTCAGTTCAAAGCCGGTCCAGAGAGGAAAGTCTGTAAGACACTTACCTCTAGCAAGAAGCTAGAACTGGACTTGTGGGCTCAAGTAGTAAAGTGCTAGCCTTGATCAAAAAAGCCCAGGAACAGTACCCAAGCCCCAAGTTCAAGCCCCAGTAGCAGCGCAAGAAAACAACAAGGGTGGGGGAAAGCTAGAAAAAGAGCTAGACAAAAGTAAGTTTTGGAGGAGTCATTGAAGTGCCATTCCACCATTTTCTCCATATTCTATTCATTAGAAGCAAGTTAGGAGACGCAGTTTATTCCTAAGGCCATGAATACCAGGAGGTGAGAATAACTGAGAGTCATTTGGGGAACTGCTTACCACACTGATCTATCACCATCCTAGTAGTGGGTAGCATCATGCTAGAATACCTTCTTCCTGGTAATAGCTAAGGAAGACAGAAATCCTTTTAATTTTACTTGTGCCCTCATGAACAAGTGAAAATGGAATAATGGCCTCTACTTTAGTAATTATGTTGCTGTGCAATGATGTGGCCCTTTGTTTCCAAACCCAACCAAAAAGATCCCTCTCTGTCATTCCATTCAGTAGGTTTAGATCCCATATGCTCATCCCTCATTTAACACACTTAATGTGTTCCAGAATTAGCTTGCAAGGCACAAAAACATGAAGCTACAAAGCTATTAACATAAGCATCGTGGGTAAAAGTGCTGCATGAATTATCTAGCAAAGTTTAGGCTGAAGGTACATTTGCTGTAAAACAGAAAACAGCAGATGACCGTACCTGTGCCATTCACTAGTTCTTAAGAACTCCAGGTGGTGATAGGAGATATAGGCATTTGTGGTTGGCACAGTAACTAGGGACCTGCACTTTCTGTTCTGAGACCCAGCAACAACAAATGTGCCAGTCCAGTAACGAGCCGTCCCACATGCCCCTCACAATGTTCTCCCCGCCCCTCTGCTCATCTGCTCACTGTCCTTTTGTTTCTGAAGCACTTCATCAGCTTATTACCTGTAAACAAGGTCATGTTTCTTTATTTCCACAAGGAAGTGCATGAACACACTATACTATGCATCGGGAAGGCAATGTGAAGCCCGGGTGGCCCACTCTTTTCCCAGGATCGATTGGATCGATCACCTGCAGGTGAGTAAACGGGGGAAAGCTGCAGGGATTCAATGCAAATATTGAATCCCTGTATTATTAAGCACACAAATTCGGATGCACACATGTATATTCCTTGCTTGGGCAAGTAGGATTACCTCTACTTTTCAGGTGGGGAAGTCCTGGCTCACAAAAATGGGGGCATTTGGCCCACAGTCACATAGCAAGGTCTAGCTACACTGCGCCACCTCGCATGCTTCTCTAGGCACAAGTTGACACAATCTTTAGGATACTAGTGTCTACCTTTAAGTGACAATGTAATGAAATTCTGGAAGTTTTTTTTTTCCATTTTCAAAAGTAAAGATGTTTGAGCACACTTAGAGCTCAAAAAGCTTGCATATGTTTATATTCACTAAAGTACCTAGAAAATTTGAGAAATCATTCGTATTCTTTTATTTGTTTGTCTTGATGGTACTGAAGGTTGAACTCAAAACCATACACTTGTTAGGCAGGGGCTCTACCACCTGAGTCTTGACTCTAGGCCTTTTTGCCTTAGCTATTTTGGGAATGGTGTCTTGTGTTTTTGCCCAGACAGAGCTGAGCCACCATCTTCCGGTTTATACTTCCCACATAGCTGGATAACAGGTATGTGCCATCATGCCCAGCTATTGGATGAGACAGGGGTCTTGCTAAGTTCCCCCCAGGTTAGCCCGTGATCCACCCAGTATTTTCCTCAATGGTTGCTAAGATTATAGATGTGAGCCACTGTGCCTGGCTTATATTTCTTACAGATGAGTTTCCTAAGAACTATAATCACTAAAGCTCAGATCTTAACTGCCAAAAGTTGCCACCTCTATAAAGAATAGGGAAGGAAAGGGTGTCACGGTAAGAGTGTCTATTGTATCTTTTTGTTTCAATTAATTATGGCATATCAAATAAAATAGGACAGAACCTGACCAGTGAATTTGCAATATAGAATTTATTACTGACTTTTGTAAGAGCATAACATATCAGAGGAGTATGGACAACAAGCCAAAAAGATAGTAGATTGAGAAGGGAAGGGGAGGGGAGACGGCAAAAGGAAAACTGACCTGGGTGCTGGTAGCTTAGGCCTGTAGGCCTAGCTACTCAGGAGGCTGAGATCTGAAGATCACAGTTAAAAGCTAGCCTGGACAGGGAAGTCTTATCTCCAATTAACCACTAGAAAACCAGAAGTGGCACTGTAGCTCAAGTGGTAGAGCACTAGCCTTGAGCAAAAGAGCTCAGGGACAGTGCCCAGGCCAAGTTCAAGCCAACAATTGACCAAAAAAAAAAAAAAAGGAAAAAGGAAGTCTAGGTTTGGTGGCTCCTATTTTTGTTTTCTGTACCTTTTGTCTAGTATGTAAGTTTATGTGTTTGGGGGATAGTAAGGGGGCACAGAAATGGTGGGACAGAGGGTGAACAGGTGCAGCAGTGATACTCACTAGACACTGTGCTGAAAATGAACTTTACAACTCGTGCAGGGGAGTCAGGAGGAAAAACCTGGGAGAGAATGAGGGGAGGGCTGACATTGTCCAAAATGAAATGTATTCATTACCTGACTTATGTAACTGTAACCCCTCTGTACCTTTACAATAACAATTTCTTTTAAAAGAACTGTTGAGTGTGGCAGCAATGTTGGTGAGCTGGATGTGATACACGAAGGTTTCAGAAGTGGCACAGGTCTGAGCCTAGCACCACCAAGATATAACCATGGAGTGGGTGGCTGAGGACAACTGGAGGAAGAAGAAATAGAAATGAAATAAAAACCTGGGGCGGTCAATATAATAAATGGCTCAAAAGCCATTTGTCATAGAATCCAAGGAAAATGAATGAGAAAATGTGACCTCTTTAGAGGTTGAATTATTCAGACATTTTACTACCAGTAAAAATGTAATGCCAAGGTCGCAGGACCCCCCCCCCCCCCCCCCCCCGCAAGAAGACCACTGAGAGTCAGACTCTACAGCTGTTTTATTTAAACGGGCTGCAGCTCGGGCCTCGTCCTACACTCTGACACAGCAGAGCCCAGGAGGAAAGCCCCGAGCTAAGGATTTGCAGGTCTTATATAGGCACACAATCAACCAGGTGTTTTAATTACCACACACGTGGTGGTCACTGCCTCAAACTTTAACCTTTCAAAAATACTCAGGCCTGGCTTACTGTCAAACTTAAGTTTGGTTTCAGGATAAAGCTCTTAGAAAAAATAAGACTGGTGGTACACAATGGTTCAAACCTGTAATCCTACCTGTTGGCAAGATCCCTACCAGTCCACAGACAAGGGTTCACAAGACTTCATCAATGGCTCGATGCAGTGGCATGTTGTTTTCATCCCAATCAAGGAATTAGAGTGGCTGGGCACAGTGGTGTGCACCTGTCATCCCAGAGACAAAGGGAAGCACAGATAGCAGGATTGTGGTCCAAGCCAGCTCAGACATAAAACTCAACCCTATCTGAA